TTTCTTGTGGTTCCTTCTATTTGTTCTAATTCTTCCTTATAACATGACTAATGTGAAAATACGTTTAATAGGAATGTGTATGTAGAGCCCATATCAGATTGCACACTGTCTTAGGGAGGGAGGGAGGAAGGGGGAGGAAAATTTAAAACTCAAAAGCTTATGGAAATGATTGTTGATAAATTAAAATAAATTAATAAAAAATGCATTAAATAAAAAAATAATGAATGCTAAATATTCTTGATTTGTAATTGTGGGAAAAAATAAAATACTATTTAAAGCATAAAAAATAAAAAATAAAAGCTAAATTGAATTGGGGGAAAAAAAAGATAGCACTGCTTCAGCATCACAGAACCTCAGAGGCATCTACACCAATCCCTCCTTGATCAAGAAACTGTTTTATTTTGTTTTTGAGACAATCAGGGTTAAGTGACTTACCCAGGGTCACACAGCTACTAAGTATCTCAGGTCAAATTTGAACTCAGGGCCACCCCCTGCCTACAATTCCTGCAGCTGTTGGTATCCATATCAGGCCAACTTTTGACACCGCCTGCCTTTACCGTTAGAGGTATTTGGCCTTTCTCTTTTGGATGATTCATCATCTTTTCCTACGTGGTTAAGGCCTGTCGTCCAAGCAAGGCTGGGAGTCACATGTGGGCAGACAGGCCCCTCAGTCTTACCCCATCTCAGTCTCTCCCTCCCTCCTTGGCTCTTTCCAGCCTAGCCTTAAGCAGAGCATGCAGACCTTCACTTGCTTGGCCTGGAGGTCTCTGAAAAGTTTTCTCACCCGCTCAAAGGTATATTCAGCAACTTGGCAGAAAAGGTTGAGCAAGTTGGGGTCCTTGGTCTCACTGTAACCCATGAGGAAGGCGATCATGGCTTCACTGTGGGGCCACCAGAGTTTCATGTCCCATTCCAGCTGGGGAGGGGGGAGAAGCACAATCTTCAACCACTCATCTTTAAGCCTCACCCCCCCCCCCGCCCCCCCGTCTCCTTTTTTCCCCCAGCCCTACTCTATATTCACTTCTTTAGGATGGCTGGCCTGAGCCCCACTGAGCCTTACCCCTTTTTCAGATATTATAGTATGCTCCTTATCTCTCCAAATTCTATTCTAACACTTGTGCCTGTCCAGAGTTGCATTCCACTGCCCCCACTGTCCTGTCTCTCCAAGGGTGGAAACCATGTAATCCCCATCAGATTTAGAGTGAAAAGGCTTCCCCTTCCTTCATCATCCCTTGGCAGGCCCTAGGGCTAGCCACTGGACACGGCCATACCAGCTACAGAATTCTAACCTCTTTCATAAATTCAGGGACCTTTGCTGGGGCTCCTTACCTGCGTGGGGCAGAATTTATCTGCATCCTGGAAGTAAAAAATCCCCCCATTTTCATTGTCCCAGCCAGAATGAAAAGGCTGCAGCATGAATTTCTCAATGATGTGGGTCTTGAGTTCAGGGTTTCGCTGGCGGATAGCATACCGGAGCAGGAACCAGCTAGCTTCCAGGGCATGACCTGAGGTGGGGATGCCACGCAGTCAAATCCCCATATCTCCCTCCCAAGTACTGTACCCCAACTCTCCGGTGGACATTCCAAAGGGCCCACATCCTTTGACTCTCCTTCCCTACACTCTTCTGCTTCAGCCATGTAAATCACGTCACCATCCTCTGTCATGGAAAGCTCATTCATAGCTCTGCATTTGCTCAAACTGTTCCCCAATCTGGGAGGCCCTCCTGCCTTCCCTTAAATGGAACCTTCCCCAGCCACCTCAGGACTCTCCACCCTCTGTGTGCCCCTCACTGGCCACACAGCTCCACACAGCTCCTTAAAGTACTGGGACTGGACCTCAGCCCTTTGCCTCCCTCACCTACCACCCAGCACCGCCAACATCCATCTAAAGGGTCCATTCACCTGGATTCTGTTGTCTTCCCAAGCAACCAGGAATCTCTGTGCCATCCTTAGATACATTCTCCAATACAAGCTGTCCATCCCTCTGTCAGGTTGTAGAGGGGGGGAAGCTTCTATGAAATCCTCCACTTTATCTCCCGAGGGGCTTTCTCCCACAACCCACTTCAAAGAGAAGAGAATCCTAGCCCTACCCAACCCCACACCCTCCTAAACCAATTGGAATTTGCTGGCCATACCTCCCTCCACCCTCAGCACCCAAAGGCACCCAACCTGGAGATGCTTCAAGATCTGCTCAGAACACCATTCCCCCAACTGTGCATATTTGCGAAACATCTTGTCATCATCCTGCCCAAGCTGATCCACCAAGTTGAGCACCATCATGGGTACGGCCATAGAGTCGACCTTCGGGGCTCCTGAGAGCTGAGGCTGGCCCAGGCCAGTGGGGTCCACTCGCACCCAGTATATAATCTGATCCATCATCTCCACAGCTTCCCTCTTGGGAAGGAGGAGGAAATGGGGTCAGGTCAAGTCTCCTGGGTCAGCCAAAGGATTCTGCCAATTCCTCAGCCTCCTCCTCTCTAATCCACCTCGGGCAGGCCCCTATCCCCGAATCTTGGTAGTGTTTCCCTCCTTCCCTCTCTCCTTCTCTCCCTCGCTCAGAAAACCTACCTTGGCCAGCCACACTGACTCGGTGTTTCCTACGCTCAACTCCAGCTGCGTGAACTTGGACAAGTTAATTCCATCCCTGGGGAGATGATGTTGCCACCCCCACCCCACATACC